CTATGACATTTATAAACGTATGAATCATATGGTGAAAAACTGACTTTGAAAAATAAATCTGTTCTTTTTTTCTTATAAAAGGCTAAATAAAACAAAAATATTGGTGGTAATTTTTGACTGTGTAACTTTACAAATGGCACCATAAACACATGTCCCCTTGTAATGACCCTGTACCCCTCTGGGGGCCACGCCCCACAGTTTGACAACCATTGGCTCTGAGTTATGAACTTTCATAGTGAAAATACTGAATGTAGGTAAAATCTGAGTAAACTACACCTCAGACTGTAATCTGTTCTTGAACTACCAGGTGGTCCATCGTGACCTTTGACACTGCAGCTAAAGAACCTGAGGACCCCAGGTGAAGTCCGGTGGTCTTTCTTCCCTGTTTGTTTATGTACAACACTTTCCTGCTTGTGTACATTCAGTACACACACAGTAAAAGTACACACTCCAGGTGGTATTTAGCTCCGCATTCAGGTCAGTTGTTCTCTGTGAAGTGTTGCTCACCGTCCTACAGGTGTCACCAGGGACAGGGTTTTCATCATGAGACCACCAGGGGGCGATAGAAAGGACTTTACAATGCTGGAGAGAAAATAAGGAAATAAATGCGAAAAATAAAAAAAAGTATTTTAATAAATCATTTAAATATTATCATAAAGTAAGTCCTGTTTTTAAAAATATTTAAATAGTTATGTATATTTATATCTTAAAGATGCACCGATGTGAGAATTTCAGTCAATATCGATATCCGATATTTTTATTGGTGTCCCCTGCCAGAAGCTAATGCTGTTGGACAGTTTGGTAACTCCTGACCTAGGACCTGGTGATTTGATTTAAATTTCAATATAGATACACATTATTTTATATTTGCTCAAAGCCGCTGACTCAACAAAACCTGCAAAATACCATGAAATAAACCAAAATGTGTCCAAATGTCGGCTTGTAAGGACAAAAGTGCTTCCAGAATAATGGTGGCACACATGGTTGTACTGCCTCCTAAGGGTTGGAGGCAGTATCAATATTAAAAGAAAGAAAATCTATAAAATATTGTTTTTAAAATTATTGATAAATGTTGATATTTAGATGGTCTAGTGTTGACTGTTGTTGACATCAAAGAGTTGAGAGTAAATCAGAATGAAACCAGAAGTTTGTGGTTGAATGTTTGAAGCGGTCCACAGCTGCAGCCATGTGGTGTCTCTCTGACAGATTTCTGCTCCATGTTTCCTGAGGCTCCGTCCTCTGACATGATGGTCGTCACTGTGACACAGAAGACCCAGAATGACATGTCCTCGTGGTCTCCTGTTGTGGAACAGGAGAGGGACCAGATGCTGGACAAGGTTAGATCTTCCTGGATAGAAAGACACAGAACCAGATTAATCAGACCATTGTCTGGTTCTAGTTCCAGTATTTGGTAACGTCTTTAACCTGCATGACTGCAGTCAAACACATTGGGTTTTGAGTCTGACAATAGTTAGAACTGTCCCCACGATGGACAATAAAGGCTGTTTCTATTCTTCGATTCTATTCTTTCTATTTCTATATGCAGGTGAATAGAAGACTATCCAAATGAAAATCCTGTAATTAGTGGAAACTTGTAAATAACCGTCTTTTGTACACTGTTTGAATAAACATTGTTTTAATGTTTAAAGTACAAATGGTCCATCTCACTCCTGTTTTTGCTCTTTGTTGCAGTTTGTAGCTGGAGCTCAGGAGATCTGTTTGTCTCTTCAGAAACAAGGGTTCTGGGCAGATTTCATCGACCCGTCTTCTGGACTGGCTGTAAGATTCTGATTCATGTGTTACTAACTACTAACTCTGCTCCTGTTAGGACCTGAGACAGACCTGAGATAGACCAGAGACAGATCTGAGATAGACCAGAGACAGATCTGAGATAGACCAGAGACAGATCTGAGACAGACCTGAGACAGACCTGAGACAGACCTGAGACAGATCTGAGGCAGACCTGAGACAGACATGAAACAGACTTGAGACAGACCAGAGACAGACCTGAGACAGACCTGAGACAGACCAGAGACAGACCTGAGACAGACCAGAGACAGATCTGAGGCAGACCTGAGACAGACATGAAACAGACTTGAGACAGACCAGAGACAGACCTGAGACAGACCTGAGACAGACCAGAGACAGACCTGAGACAGACCTGAGACAGACCAGAGACAGACCTGAGACAGACCAGAGACAGACCTGAGACAGACCTGAGACAGACATGAGACAGACATGAAACAGACCAGAGACAGACCAGAGACAGACCTGAAACAGACCTGAGACAGACCTGAGAGAGACATGAAACAGACCAGAGACAGATCTGAGACAGACATGAAACAGACCTGAGACAGACCAGAGACAGACCTGAGACAGACCTGAGAC